AATCAAACTTTTCTTTCCTTAGTATCCCAAGATTGTTCTAGAACGGGCGACATCCTAGTCTCTCTTGCAACTGGATTCCATGGGATTCCAGTTGCAAGACAGACTAGGATGTCGCCCGTTCTAGAACAATCCCACAATTTTCCTGAATGTCTTAATTTGACTTTGCACAAAATTCAGGCCCCAAATAAGAAATATCCTGCCAAATATTGAAAGTAATGGCAAAACTGCAATTACTTTTCCACCATCCTAATACATTTCAATCTCAAGAATTTTGGCTGTAAGTGTTGACTACATATTTCTCCCTCCAGTGGAAGTTTCTTGGACTCACCCTTTAGCTCCTATATTTCTATCTCCTACAGTAACATAAAATTCCAAAGTGAAGGATCCCAGAAATAGCTCTGATTGGTTGTCCATCAATAATTCTTCAACTCACATTCACAGCTCTGTGCCATATTTTCCACCAATGCAGTTATTTCTTTTGGACACAGTACTTCCATAAAATCTCTGGTCAGAATGCAACATGTATCTTGGAATAAGAAATGCCTAAGGTCTGAGCACAGAGAAGAAGCTCATCACACTGACATGGAGACCACGAGTCATAGAAGAAATCTTTGGTGGAAGATTGCCACAGATCAGGGATTTGGGCAGTTGGAATATAGGTGCCTGGGCTGGGGCTTACCCAAAGTGAAATGGAAGAACTGGTGAAGCTTGTCTTCACGTGTTCACTATTCCACTTCTTGTTTCCTAGACTTTTTTCTCCTGGCTTTCCCCCATACCTCCACAAACCCCTATCATGTGAGCTGCACCCGGCAAAATCATAGAGGTGGAATTGCCTGAGGCCTTGAGGGCCCAATCCTAGCCCAGTGTGTCCAGGAGGTGGCACATGGGGTCAAAAGAGATTATTCTCTAGCTCTAAAATTTAATGTCTACCTGCCTTGCTGAGTTTTTGTCTTACTTGGAGCCTGTTATTTTTGTTGGGAGAGGGAGCATGGAAGGGTGCTCTTTCTCACTTCTGGAATGGGACTGTCTGTCTTACGCCTGTATCACCATATGCCTGTATCACCATTGTATCTTAGAAGGTGTCACCTTATTTTGATTTTACAGGTTCACAGATGAGGCTCTGGGTTTTGGACTACTGAGTTGATACTGAAACCAGTTAAGACTTTGGAATTAGAGGGTTGGAATGGATGTATTTGTATGTGATAAGGACATGAGTTTTTGGAGGGCAGTGACAGAATGTTCCTGATATTCCAGTCTTGAGGCACAATATCTTCAAATAAACTGCTTGCAGACATTAATCACATCTAAAAAATAACATCAGAGCAACACACAGATTAGAGTTTGATTTAATAACTAGGTTCAATGGTATATGTCAAGTTGACATTTAAAAAACACAGTTTAATACAACTCTTCTATAGCATACTGGGAATATACTAACTCTTCCCCAGAGTAGAGGTCCTTGGGTGATGTTCACTCTTATCCCTGACATTCTGTAACATAAATACTGTGAAGTAATATATTAGATTTTAAGGTGATAGAGTGAGAAGAACACAATAGTATTCTACACACTCACAAATTCATAACAAAATAAAAGGTAAATACTCATAACATTTACAATCCTTTTGCAACTGATCATATGGTGATAGCTAGCATTTGTATATCATATGCCCTTTGCCCTTGGCAAGTACTGCAATTGATTTTTTCCTGACTGGGAAGGGGTTCCAAATATTCATTTTTGAAGAGTTGGGGTTATTAGTTTTCCTTCCTGAATTGGGCTATTGTAGATTTTTTGTTGACTTTAATAAAAAGGCATGGGCATACTTAGTGATGTGCTAACAGAGTTCCTATATCCCAGGCTTACTCTTCTTTTTAATGACCTATAACAGTAAACCAAAGAAATGATCGCAGTTGTGACAAGTGCTACAAAGAAAATGAAAACATAGTATTTGCTTCTTTTTTTTTTTTTTTTCCAACTTTTATTTTACGTTCGGGGGTTCATGTGCAGGTTTGTTACACAGGTAAATGTGTGCCATGGTGGTTTGCTGCACAGATCCTCCCATCACCTAGATATTGAGCCCAGCATCTATTAGTTATTCTTCCTTATCCCCTCCCTCCTCTCCCCACATCCTCTGACAGGCCCCAGTGTGTGTTGCTCCCCTCCGCGTGTTCATGTGGTCTCATTATTTAGCTCCTATTTATAAGAGAACATGCAGTATTTGGTTTTCTGTTCCTGCATTAGTTTGCTGAGGATGGCTTCCAGCTCCATCCATGTCCCTGCAAAGGACATGATTTTGTTCCTTTTCAGACTTACTCTTTACATCAGCGTGTAGTAGCAACCCAATTTTCCTTGGTAATCATGTCTTCCATGATAAATCCAGTCCAACATTTCAATCTCCCTACACCTTTACATACCTTCCTCTTCAGTATCCCAAGGCAATTCTGGTATTTCAGCTTCATTTAGTGCAGGCTACCCTTTGTTTCATTTTTAACTCAACCAGACAAACACAGAGCTGTATATAACCCATCAAGCTGCAACGCTATATTGAGAATTTGTGCTTTGTGGGCCTGTATCAATAAATTCATCTCGAGTGAACTTTATGTTCCTTCAACCATTATTTCACACTATTAACTTACATTCTCACATGTATTCACCAGATTTCTGTCTGTATAAATTGAAAAAAATGCGCACTACTTTTGGTATGTACTATGTTTTCCGTTGGTTCACAATTTTAATTTCTCTTTCAAGCCTGTTGGGACTAGAGTCTAGATAGAGTTCTACAAGTCAAGAGGTTTGGTGGAAGTAGATTCTGAGGATAATCAGCAGTGTCTTCCAGTTAAAATACTTCAGAGGTGCTAGTACACTTTCCTTTGAAAAATCAGGATGAACTTTCTCAGACATGAATAGCAGGGTTGCTCCTACTGGCAAAGAAGATGCAGGAGAATTCAGAGGTTAAGTATCCTCAGCTTCATCAGGATCTACCCTACATGTTTCATTCCAATTTTCAGAATCTCATTCCTTCCCAATCAATTCCCTCAGTTTAGCAGAAGATACTTTGCCTGTTTGGGAATCCAATTTGCACTGTAATTCTGCCACTCTCAGGATGAGATTCTAGATTTGATTCTCTGAAACCTCAGGCTGATGACAATGGGAGATAAATACATTCCTCTGGGAAGACATAGAAGGTTTCAGATCATTTATGTGGAACTTGAACTTGGAATTTCAAGCCCTGAGTTCATCCTTTTTCTTTACTTCATCTACCACAGTTAGGAGCAGTCATCCTCATTACATTTATTAGTTTGACTAAAATATTTTAAGGTATCACAATTACTCAGAGATTTGCCTTTTATGAATATTTGATTAGGAATCCAGTAGTAATATTTTACAAATCTTTTTACCACATTGCACTATAGACTATCATTGTCTTCTTTACCACTGGAAAGAATACTTATGCCTTAAAATATAATCAATCATGTCAGAAACCCAATACCACAAACCCAGATCCAGTTTTTTGAACTGGATCTGGTAGATACTATCTCTACACATGGTGAAACCCTTGGAATTACACCAGTTGCTAGGAGTAGAAACAAGCAAAAACGTTGCTTAAGTACTCCAGAGATTTTGTTCTTTTTACTTTATTTGACAGCCTAGAGGCAGACTATTGAGGGCTTGCACGATGGCTCCATCATACTGTCTGTCGTCCCCATTTTCCTGTTTCTTTTTTATCTTTATTGCCCCAAACTTGCTCTCTGGTAGGTGGCTTTCAAGAAAAACTTAATATTTAAATGTTTGTACCCTCATATTTGCTTTTGCATTCGCAGATGGAATTAAGTTTCTTCTTAAAAGTTTAAAATGCATGATACCTTGTGGGTTAAACCACTGAAAAGAAAACATTAGATATCTGAGGTCGCCCTGGAAGAACCATAGTTCTAATTGCTTAATTCTGGGACAATTCTTCAGACAATTCAGATAAAAGGATGAAATAGCTACTATGCATACTCCCTGCAGATACAGGAAAGGACCCAGACCCTTGTCAAATCCGTGAAAGAACTTGCCTTGTAGTCTGCAGAGCTGGGTGCCTGGCATCTACTCAGTTCTGTGAGTTCTCATACTGCAAGGATGCTGCACACAGCCAGGATTATGTTATATACAGAGGGGTGTGTGTGTGTGTGTGTGTGTGTGTGTGTGTGTGTGACAGAGAGAGAGAGAGAGAGAGAGAGAGAGAGAGAGAAAGAGGGAAGTGTAAGGTCTGAATCACCAGTGATTATACCTGCCTGCTCCTGAGAGCAGGATGTGCAGGAGTGGGAATGGCAAGGGTAGGGTGGATGTCATAGACACACAATGAAAGAGAGCATAATGTAGATATTTTCCTCTAACTAAGCCACAGGGTTTCTTCTTATCTGGCAAAGTAACTGCTAGGGAACATGTGAAAAACAGAAGTAAAAAGAGACAAAAAGAGAAAAGAAGAGAAGAAACCAAGGATGAAAACAGCAAAAATGTCATCCTCTGCAAATGCAGAGAAGGAGGGAGAACCTTGAATCACCTATAATTACTCCTGCCTGCTCCCAAGAGTTGTGGTTTTAAGTTTCACCTAGTAATGAGGCACCCTAGCAGTAAGGTTTCTGGGGACAACAGAAGGACAGGAAAGTGCTGCCTAAAAGAAAGAAGACCATGTGCTGAATACTACCTTACAAAACATGGGAGACAAGTTTTGATGCTGTTCTAGAAACCAAACCATTGCCAGCAAAACTTCCTGCTTGCTTCTCTCCCAGTGCAAATGGCTTGAGCTTTCACAGTCACTGAGATATCCTAGGCAACAGGAGTGTAAACTTGAGAAAAGGCAGAACCAGAGTAGAGATTGACAGTGAGCAGAGCCAATCAGGCTGTGAGTCTGCAGCAGTAATCGCAGGCCGTCCAATTAATACTAAGAGAGTGGACCAGGGCCTCTGAGGAAGACAGGTAAGAGGGAGGAGGCTAAGGTGGCTTGGGAGGAACCAGTTTTCCTAGATGCAGGAGACAGCGTCCATAGTTTCAGTTTGAAGCAACTGGTGGCAAAAGGTTAGCATTTAAGGTAAATCAATTTTTTTTAATCTATTCTATAATTTGATGTTTGGTCTTTTTCTTCTTGGTGTGTCTTAGCCAAGAAAAGAAGACAGTAGATGGTACTCTCTAAAAAGAAAACCTAAAAGTCTTTGAGAGTTCTTGGACTAACGAAGCCATCACTAGGCTGTTAGTGAAAAGAGGAAAGAGCTTGGTACTGGGAAAGATTTTTGTAATCTTTGCAAAAAAATGCTTAGATAAACATGTACAAAAATCAATTTCATTCAGTAAAGGGGAAGGAAGTAAACATTACTGAGCAGTCATTAAGTACTAGGTATTTGAGCGTGAAGGGTTTGGGTGAATTGCTCTAACGATCCTGATGACCACTGATAAAACTGAGTTTCAGGGAGGTTCAGCATTTCCAAGACACAGAACAATAAAACATTTCAACTTTCATTCAGACCTTGCTTTGTCTGATACTTAAACTTATGCTATTTCTGCTATACACTGATAACTGAGAATCAGAATAAAAATTAGAATGCTTATTAAAGTGTACTTACATGGCTTGTTCAAAATTATATCAAATATTTGATTGGATTCATCAGAGACTTGAGTGGGTCCTTCTTTGCATTCTCAGTAAAGGACACCACCAATGACCCAGGCAGCCATCTCTATTGTCTTCAGTCTGAGGAGTATTTAAGCCATATTAAGTAGATGAAATTATTTCCTTTTTTTTTTTTGACTTATTTTTTCCTCAAACCCTACAACCACAAAAATCTATTTTGTTATTAAAAGTTTTAAATATTGAGATTTGAATTTCAGGCATACATTTGTATTTATATTCTGATAGCAATTACCCAATAGTAATGGCGATGATAAATTCTGATAGCAATATAATAGCATCCTGCTAAGCCCTGATGATATGATGACAGGAAACACAAAATATACAGCCCTTGCTCGTAAGGACCTTATAGTCTGTCTAGCAAGGCAAGTAATTCTGAAAGCAAATTACATTGTCATGCAATGTGAATGCTATTTGGACTTCACCACATGATTATGGAAGGATGGGTGGGACTTCTCTGGGCCAACAGGAAAAAGAAGGTATACCTGAAAGTATGACTACATGTACAAAGGCACAGAGATATAGAATGCTATGGTGTGTTTGGGGAAAGTGAGTGAGTAGAGATGCAGGATAGATTTTGAATGGATGGAGAATTACTAGAAATGGCTAGAGACACAGGAAGGGTCAATGCATGAATTCAGTGCTAAGAACTTTCATTTTACCTGTATACAATGTGGAACCATCAAAAAGCCTTAAACTAGATCGTGAAGTTCATGTTTTCATTTTCTAAAGATTGCTCAGTCTTCTGAAAGACAAAGCAGAGAGGGCAAAGCTAGGAGCAGGAAACCAGCTAGTAGACAGTTGCAATGGTGGAAATGAGAAGTTACCATGTCCTGGGCTGAGTCAGTATCCGTGGCAATGGAGATAAGGGAATGGAAATGCAGGATGTGTCAAGGTAGTGAAACTCTATAGGACTTAGCTGCCAATTGGATGTAAAGGGAGAGGAAGAGTCTAGGATGATAGTCAGTTAGTGATCTGGGTAAATGGTATTGCTGTTTCCTGAAGCAAGGAGTAAGGAAGATAGGTAATGAATTTGGCTCTGGAACATTAAACTGAAAGTGTCTGTAGGTCATCCAAGTGCACATGTTTTGTGAGAAATCTGGCTCCAGAGAGTGCCTACATTAGAATAAAGTTTGGTAGTCATCATTGTATCAGGGGATATGGCTGAGATTGCCATAGGATAGTGGAATACTGAGAAGAGAATAGATAACTGAAGCCTGAGAAACAGCACTTAAGAAGCAGGTGAAGACAAGGAAGAACCAAAATAGGACAGATCCAAGAGGGAGGAGGAGAGACAGGAAATTAGATATATAGCCATTGACAGAAAGCGTGTTAAAAAGGAAGAATGACCAATAGTCAACTCTTGGGAGATGTGAACTAAGGGCTAATGACTGTTGAAGTTGGCAAACAGTTTAGCAATGACTTATTGGAGAGTATATTTGTTGGAATGACAGAGTGAAGACCATACTGAAATGGACCAAAGTATGAATGGGGCATGAGAAAGTGGAAAGTCTGGACATTCTTTCAAATAGTTTGACTTTGAGGGGTGATAGCTAGAGGGAGTCCAGGACTGAGGGACAACAGCGGATTCATGAACTAAAGGAAGGAGCTGGTGGAGAGGAGGAAAAGGGCATAACTGATGGCTGAGAGTCTTAGAGGGTTAGGCTTCTGTGTTACAGGTAGAGAGGGCATCCTTAGATGGGAGGAAGTTCAGAAGTCTCTTGGGGGAGGGATGATGAAGTCAGGATGCCCTAATAGCTCTATATTTTTATAGATTTGGAGGAGGGTGATGTGAATTTGTTCATAACTTGTGGCTCCATTTTTTTCTGGGTCTTTCAAGGCAAGGTCTGGAGTGGCAAAGATTTGGATTAGCCTTTGAGTAGTCTGGAATAAGAACCTGACCAACATCATAGAAAAGTAGAGTTGTGTGTTGCAGAAGGCCTAGCTGTGGTTAAGGAAGAAATGCAGTGACACCTGTCCCTGCTGGCATGTGGGTTTATTCAGCTGCAGTTCAGTCTGCCTTTAAGTACATGGAGCATGGGCAAATTGAACCAAGTTAGCTATTATTTTGAGATGGTGGGAGATTGACAAATGAGAGTCAAGAAGGAAGGCACTGGTACCGGATGGTCAGAAAGATGCACAGAGTGTGTAAAATGGATAAGAAAGGAAGTGAATCCAGAAGGGAGAATGAGGTAGGTAATGTCTGGGGTGAAAATGTAGGGCCAAAAGACTGGAGGTCCCATAAGGTCAGAAGCAAATTGGAATAATGGAACTGAACAGTGCAGAGAAAGTCAATCTTGAATTTTGAACTTTCAGTCTGGGCACAGTGGCTCATATCTGTAATCTCAGCATTTTGGAAGGCCAAATTGGGAGGATTGCTTGAGCTTAGGAATTCAAGACCAGCTTGGGCAACATAGCAAGATCCTGTCTCTACTAAAAAGAAGTAAAAATTAGTTGGGTGTTGTGGTGCGCCCCTGTAGTCCTAGCTACTTGGGAGGCTTCGGTGGGAGGATCACTTGTGCCCAGGAGATTGAGGCTGCAGTGAGCTACGATGGCACCACTGTGCTCCAGCCTGGGCTACAGAGTGAGATCCTGTCTCAAAAAAAAAAAAAAAAAAAAGAATTTTGGACTTTCAGAGGAGACCAGATTTGGTTGGGAGAGAATGCTGAGACAAAAAACAGATAGAGTTGAGTTGGTAGAAAGCAAGGAGCTCCAGGAACTTCATAGCTGCCTGTTGGATGGATTGCCTAGATGAGCTCTGGGTTTTCCCAGAATGATGACACCATTTGAAATGGAGAGGACATCTCTGAGGCAACATTCAGAGTCTCAGTGATTTATAAACTGACAGAACCGAAGAGGAATATAGGAAGTCTGTCCGCTAGGCTGTGCTTCAAAGAAGGATATGGGTATAGGTCATGACGTGGAGGTAACAGGCTGCATCTTAAAATCTGTGAGGTTCCTTAATACTTAGAATTTGGGGTAAGAGGTGCTTTCATCTGAGAAGACTGCAAGAGGGGTAGGGTTCCTTAGGCAAAATCAGATACCATCCAGGATAAAGACATTGTACCAATCAGTGTCTTGGCAGGAAATTGATGGCACATTCAAAAGTAGTAACAGAAAAGAGTTTAATGAAGGACAATTTACAGAAGTGTGGGTAGGGCTAAGCAATATAGAGAAAGCGTAATGAGACACCCAGCAATGCCACAGTCAGAAGGGACAAGAAAGGTGTTATCCATAGCCCTAAAGGGGCAAAAGGAGGAGTGGTTTTCATATCTCAATCAAAGCATTTCTGTAGGGAGGGCTGCCTTTGGTGAAGGATATGGTCACTCAAAAACTGTGGCTTAGCAGAGTGGAAGCTGGGGAAATAAATACTCCAACCTCTATCTCCTCCTCTCCTCTGATCTGCTGATGTCTCCAAATGGTGGAACCCAGCTGGAAGCCAGCGAGCAAGGAAGTGTGGTTAACACAGTTTATGGAGGTCAACCTCTTGTAGCACAGATGTGGGTAGGGAATGGATCAGGAGAAGCACACGGACAAACAATATTCATCTCGTCAGTGACGACTGCTGTTCAGAGGTTGATCAAGATGAGGAGGCTTATAATTGAATAAGGAATAGAGGAAAATCTGGGTGTCTCTGTATGGAAGCTGCGCTTGGTGCCAAGAGGGCCAACCTCTGCTCGTAACTTGTGGAGGTGGTGGTGAGGTGCTCGAGAGCAAGGAGTGGGAGTGTTTAGCTCGTAGAATAACACTTTTGGCTTCAACTGTTGCTTTAATCACTTGGTGAATGAAATAAGAATTTTCTTTGTAAAATGTTGCTCTTTATTCTGATATCAGACAGCTTTGTGTAAAGAAAACATATCCAGGTTCAAAAGAGCAGTTTTCTGTATTTCAGAAGTCAACAGATTGGCATTTGGGAGAAGATGGCATTACAAGACACTGAAATGTAGAAATGGCCACGAGTTGGCTTCTCACAGGGTTCCTAATGCCCATGAACATTTGTTCAATTAATGATATTCTTTGGAACAGATTGTCTCCCACATTTTTAGCCATAATTCCATTGCCACTCAACATCTTACTTTTCCTGCAGTCTGAGAATAATTTTAAAATTCTTGTATATTTTCTTCTAAACTGAAGTCAAATAGAATTAAAATTTCCCAAACTAAAAAGTATAGTTTGAGACAACAGGACAGTCTTTGGTTGAGAGGTGGATGACAGCTCTTCTTACTTTCTTTGGAAGCTCTGCTTAGTGTGTGTCCCCTCTGCAGTTACCCCTCTAGCATAGACAGGAGTTCTTCACGCCTAGGGAGGAGCAGGCAAACACTCTTCAGTAACAAACAGCATCAGTCCTTCTTACTTAGTGTACTTTGGACTCAATATTGCTAATAAGCCTGACCCAGTTTTATAAATGAGTGCCCTGTGAGAAATGCAAATCAAAACCACAATGAGATACCATCTCACACCAGTTAGAATGGTGATCATGAAAAAGTCAGGAAACAATAGGTGCTGGAGAGGATGTGGAGAAATAGGAACACTTTTACACTGTTGGTGGGACTGTAAACTAGTTCAGCCATTGTGGAGGATGGTGTAGCGATTCCTCAAGGATCTAAAACTAGAAATACCATTTGACCCAGCCATCCCATTACTGGGTATATATGCAAAGGATTATAAATCATGCTGCTATAAAGACATATGCACATGTATGTTTACTGCGGCACTATTCACAATAGCAAAGACTTGGAACCAACCCAAATGTCCATCAATGATGGACTGGATTAAGAAAATGTGGCACATATACACCATGGAATACTATGCAGCCATAAAAAAGGATAAGTTCATGTCCTTTGTAGGGACATGGATGCAGCTGGAAACCATTGTTCTCAGCAAACTATTGCAAGGGCAGAAAACCAAACACTGCATGTTCTCACTCATAGGTGGGAATTGAACAATGAGATTACTTGGACACAGGGTGGGGAACATCACACACCAGAGCCTGTCATGGGGTAGGGGTAGGGGGTAGGGATAGCATTAAGAGATATACCTAATGTAAACGACGAGTTAACGGGTGCAGCACACCAACATGGTACATGCATACATACATATGTAACAAACCTGCACATTGTGCACATGTACCTTAGAATTTAAAGTATCATTTAAAAAAATGAGTGTCCTGTGGTGACTATAGGGGTTTCCTGTTTTAAAAAATGAACATTTTCTGAGATACACCAGGTCAGGGGCCAAATTTGGCCCACGGGGTGTGGTCTGATGTCCTGGGCCTAGATTATTTTAGATTATGTTTGCCTGCACTGACGACATCCTTCCTAACTGCCCATGCAAAAGTGAGTCTTATTTGCTTTGGGTGAACGGAGGTGAAAAGGGAGAAGTCATCAATGTGTTGACATCTGCCCTTAGGGCTTTCCTTAGTCTTCTGCATCAGAGTGACCCGGTTGCTCCATGTTTAGAAAGCTTCATGCTCCACATGGTTTTGTGAAATAAATTATCCACAGATAATTTACAAAAGGCTGCTGGGGGACTGGCAGATGCAAAAGGTCCTGCTCAGAATCTTGGTTTTGCTACCGACGTATGAACTGAGACAACCTCCAAATCTCTCTGTAGCTCAGTTTCTTTATTTTGTGAAAAGTGGATATAGCTATGTCTGTAACCTATACGAATTGTTATCAAGACTTACTTTATACCAGACAAATTTTCTGTTCTAAACAAACTGTGAAAAACTTGCAAGACACAGGCCACCCTTTTAGCAGAGAACATGGGACAGAGTAAGTGTGCAGAAAATGTTTCCTATTACTATTGTTCTTATCTTTTGCATAGTCCTGGAGGTCAGCAAAGTATTTCTATATAAGGCCAGAGAGTAGGAAATTTAGGCTTCATGGGCCAGAAGGTCTATGATGCAGCTATTCAACTTTTGAGTTGTAATGTGAAAGCCACCACAAACCATATATAAATACAAGCATGTGGCTATTTTCCAAAAAAATGTTATTTACGAAACCAAGTGGAGGGCCAAATTTGGCCCATGGGGTGTGGTCTGATGTCCCAGGCCTGGATTATTTTAGGTTATGTTTGCCTGCACTGAGGGCGTCCTTCCTAACTGCCCATGGAAAAGTGAGCCTTATTTGCTTTGGGTGAACGGAGGTGAAAGGGAAGAAATCATCAATGTGTTGACGTCTGCCCTTAGGGCTTTCCTTAGTCTTCTGCATCAGAGTGACCTGGTTGCTCCACATGTTTAGAAAGCTTCATGCTCCACATGGTTTTGTGAAATAAGCTGATTTAGACATACTCGCACTCTTACTTTTTGGAATAACAATATTTCTTCTGGCAACTGAGGCAGAAACTGTAAGTTGCCTACTCAATAGCCACTGTCTTCTTTTTTATAAACAGAACCTTGTGGGTGGCAAAGTATCCAGTCAAAAATCAGGTTTCCCAGACTCCTTTGGAGTGGCTGATGAGATTTACATAGAAGGAACTGGGCGAATCTTCTGGGAACCAGTTCAGAAAGGGCTGATTTCGTTGAGAAGAGCATCCTTCTTGCCTTTTCCCCTTTTTCTTTTCTTTTGCTTGGAGTGTGGAGGTAATAGCTGGAGCTGCTATGGCTATTATGTATGAATATTATATACCTTTAGGCAACTTTGAGTATAAAAACTATGCTAGGGTAGAAAGATAGGAGAGTCTGGAAACACTGATGACGACTTGAAGCACTTCCAGACTTCTTTTACGTGAAAGTAAAGTAAATCTCTATCATTTTCAGAGACAGGATCTACTTCTATTATAAGTTGCTGGACACAATTCATAACTGATATGCTGATCTACACTGATGTTGGCACTATGACATTGGATTTTTTTTTTTTTTTTTTTTTTTTGGGACAGAGTTTCGCTCTTGTTTCCCAGGCTGGAGTGCAATGTTGCGATCTCAGCTCACAGCAACCTCTGCCTCCCGGGTTCAAGCCATTCTCCTGCCTCAGCCTCTGGAGTAGATGGGATTACCGGCATGCGCCACCATGCCCTGCTAATTTTGTATTTTTAGTAGAGATGAGTTTCTCCATGTTGGTCAGGCTGGTCTCAAACTCCGGACCTCAGGTGATCTTCCCGCCTCAGCCTCCCAAAGGGCTGGGATTACAGGTGTGAGCCACCGCGCCTGACCTGACATTGGATTTTTATCCCTTAACACTTTTTGGTTTTCTAGAAGTATCAGTTAAGAACAACTAGGATACAAATAATTGACTAGATTTCTAAGTGGTCATAAAGTAAACATTAAAATAGACAAATGACTCCAAAAGAAGCATTCATTCTAACGGACTGCAAGATAGTTACTAAGTGATTTTGGTGACTAATGGCTGCAAAAGGGCAAATGTCCGCCAGAGCTGTGGCTTTACCTGCATCTAAAAGGGTGATAGAAGATGTACCAGTTGGGCTTTGTCCTTGCAGTGGGTTTGAAATAATTTTCTGAGGTCACGACTTCATAGCAAAAATGGAATATTTGAAAGTTACCTGGTTGATCTTAAGAGCATAACCATTGAAATCAAAAGAAGTTTTATTTTTCTTTTGTCTTGGTTTTATTTATTTGTTTATTTCTCTATTTTGCAATTCAGCTAAATCTTTGCTTACCTTCGCATAGTTTAGGTAGCTTCTTACTCTGTTTCTTTAAGATGTTGCATCGAGCAGGTTGACCTAACTCAGAATAGACTGTAAGCTATTTCTTGGTAAAAACCCTAGAGACTCAAGGCACAGCAAAGGGAAAAGCAAGATGGAGAAGACAGCAAGGAGAGAGCTATTAGGAGAGTACATGCCCCTGACATTCCCAGTGGGTGCTTATTATGACAAGGACCCTGTAACCTTGGGGCCTCTGTATTTTATTAAACCTGGGTTTCTTTTTTTTTTTTTTTAACCACATTGTGTCAGTTACATGGGTTCTTGAATATTATGCTAAGCTGTTTATTTTGTTCTCTTTCATAGTCAAAAGTGCTGGAGAGGCTGCTACTTGACAAAATTCTGCTGAGAGAAGTGGTTATAATGGAGTGACTTTCTCTTTCGTCATGATTCTCAGGGGTGAATCTCTTCTCACACTGGATTGCTAGTTATTTTACCCGGCTAAAGGTCACTATTTACAGTCAGTCCAAACATAGCAGGAATAAGCTTTTTGCCGTCTGTATCAGTTAGGAATAATTTGACTGCAAGTGACTGAAGACCTGACCAACAGCCTATTAAACAGTTAATGCAAAGAGATTTATGTTTCTTACAAGACAGGAGTGTGAAGTCAAGAAATTGCCAACATTGGTGCAGCAGCTCGATGATGTCAGGGCTCTAAATTGGTATGGATATGATTCCCTTGGCCCTTCCCTCATGATTGCGTAGAGGCTGCCACAGTTCCAGACATTACATCCTCACTCAAGGCATGAGGAAAGCAAAAGAGATGAGAGAGATATTCCAGAGCTCTCAGCACTTTCCTTTGGGTCCCTTTGGCCAGAACTGGTTCCTATGCCTACCCAGTAGAAAGTGGAATACAGCAGAGAAAAAGGGGAATAGAATGACTTTGTCTCAGCCAGGCGGCAGTGTCTAAAAAACTAGCTGTAATTCAAATTTAATCAAGTTAAAACTACTTCTAGGAATGTAAACTTCCAAGGGTTGGAACCTTGGCTGTCTCATCCATTCCTCTTGTATGGCACATAATAGGTGTTTAATAAACATGTGTTAATGCAGAACCAAGACTAGAGTGAGGCAAGGTAGGTGTTTAGGGTGCACTATTTAAGGAGACACTCATTCTCAGGCTTGGGCAAGTGTATGGTTGACATTTGCATGATTCTGAGACTGTGTGCCTCTTTAAACATTATGCCTTTTTCTTACTTAGCCCTACCCCCAACCCTGGTTCAGTGAATAAAATGAAATACGAATATGTATGAAGTAAACACTTTATCACAATGATATTTATAAAATATTGTTTTTAAAATGTACCATATCACAAACATTAAAATAAGGACTGAATTCACATCTCGAAGATCACTAGAAAGAAGTAAAGACTGTGGTTTAGCATAAATGGGCTCTACACAAACCTGCCTATTGAGAGTGGCTGCAACATGCATTTTAAGCATTTTGAGAAAATGTATTTTGATGCACAGAAAAACTGGTAAGATGCCAGACCTCAGTGACATCTTATTTCCACAGTATGCTATTTCACTTAAGTATAGATGAAATGCCGTCATACTTTATGTGGTATGTGGAAGTTGGCAATCCAAACAAAAACCAGATGTTTCATATATTCATACATTTTAGAAAAAATTTTAAAAATAAATTGTGGGAAAATAGTAAATGATATGAAGGTAATCAGTGCAGAAGTTTTGAGTTTGATTTAAAAATCCTCACGCATCTTTTTTTTTTTCTTTTTTATTGTACTTTAAGTTCTAGGGTACATGTGCACAACGTGCAGGTTTGTTACATATGTATACATGCGCCATGTTGGTGTCCTGCACCCATTAACTCATCATTTACATTAGGTATATCTCCTAATGCTATCCCTCCCCCCTCCCCCCACCCCACAACAGGCCCCGGTGTGTGATGTTCCCCAC